CCAGCTTAAATATGACGTTGGGTTTTGAGTAATTATATCTCTAAGGGCTTACTTTAACCTTCTCGCTAGTCCTACGTAGTAGGCGGGAATGTATGGCAGGCACACCAAAAACATACATGCAGAAGTAGGACCTCAATATAAATATAGAAAACACATCAAAGAGGCTGACAGCCAGGGAACACTTTGCACTTGACATACAACAGATACAGTACTATATATATAAAAATATATAAAATTGTAAAAAATTATAGGAAGAATAGAAAGTTTCGATCCATTAAGCCGTAAGACGCTAAACGACCCCTTCAACTTAGCGAATCAAGGGCACGTGCGTAGGGAAAGAAGAAACATAGGGGCATATTCGATCGAAACGATTTCTTCTGAGCAAAAATGACAGAAATTATAAGGACTAACGTTTGGATGCGCCGAATGTGGGCTGATGCGGTGCTGCACCGAACAATGACGGCTGCTGCAGAGTTGTGGCTGTGGAACCAAACAGTGGCTTGTTTGCCGTGCTGCAAAATCGCAATGCGTTAAGGAGTATGGGTTCTTAATTCTGAAATAATATCTCAGCGGATTCGCTATCTGTCACAATCAACCCTACCGACAACTCCATCTTGGCAGCTGATGTGTCTAACTGCAGCAGATAACGACTCCGTCATGATATTACTTAAGAAATGGTAAATCTGTTCAGCTGGTTTGGCAGTTGCGTTCGAAGGGTCCGTTCATACTTCATACTCTTTTACATGAATGGTAACGGTAATAATAGTAGTAATAATAATAGTAATAGTAATAATAATAATAATAATAATAATGATAATAGTAATAGAGTAATAATTCTAATAACGACAATGGTAATAAATAACAATAACACTGATAATAATGATGGTAATAATAACAATAATGATGATACTGGTAATAATAATAACAACGACAATAATAATCTTAATAATGCAAATGATAATTACAACTATTACTGCACTTGCAATGCTAAAAATTACAGGCTAAAATGCAGAAGATATCTTGGGTGAAACAGATGGGCTGTGGCCGAGGAACATGCGACAGGGGGGAAGCAAGCAGACTGAATATGATTATCATATTTGAAAAATACCTCAGGGGATTAATTTCCTACAAATCCGGAGTTCGCTGAACATGTACTGACCCTTCCAGTAAATAAGTTAGTTCAAAGTCGCATAGGAACCGTGACGCTCAGCATTCTGTAGAGAATGTCTGAAACGGCTGAAGCGTTGCAAGTGTTCTTTTTTGAGCCGAAATAACAGGTTTTTCTAAAATAGGCGAAGCAAAGCAACAAGTTTATTCGGTTCGGCACAAAAAGGAGCCCCGGTAGCGACCATTCATCAGTGACAACAGGGCATCAAGACGGAATTCCGAATTTTTACAATAAGCTCAATTTTTACAATATGCGCTACTTACTCAGAAATTTGTACAGGAGATGATGCGTTTGTCAGGCCTGCCAGTGTAAAATACGGATATTGGTCATCATATATATATATATATATAAAAAAAGAAAAATATATAAATTTGTATAAGTGTTGTAGAAATTTTAAAGATACAAACAATGAATATTCCTGGCCAGGAGATTGGAAGAGAACGTGGGCCTGAAATCTTTTGTGTGTTAACATATGCAATTTGTTTGGCGGTGCATAAGGGTTACACTAAGAAATTGAACGACTATTCCACTAAGTCGTAAACATTCGATACCACAATTAGACCTAAAAATCAACAGTGATCGAATTAGCTGGGAAAACTGCCAGGTTTGGGTACCACAAATCAATAAGAGCTGTTCCTAAGTTTCATGATTAGCCACTAAGGCAATTCATACGTTGCAATCCCCAAACGCAATCCTATACAATCTGAGGATGGCTACAATTAATCCCCCTACCCCTCGTTTTTTCCCCGTGCGAGGGGAAGTTACTCTCAGTGGCGGCATGCGAACAACCTATTGCTTTTTGACGATTCAGTAATCACTCAGGTTCAGAAAATCGCCCACTTAGTGGCAAGATTTTTACACCTAAATTGGGTGCTGGATACATCCCCTGTGGCTGTAAGAAGAGGGAAATGAGGGAGCGGCGCAGAAGAAAATGTTTTACACGTATTTTTCAGTGAAATGATATGGAAATTATTGGCACATAAAATTACGTAAAATTAAAAAATATTAAAAATAAAATTAGAAAATAAAGGACTAGAAAATATAGCATAAACCGGAAATTAAACAGCTAAACAGGAATGTTTTGGTCCCTGAAGTTGTAAACTATGCAACACACTTGCTATCAAAAACATCGAGCCAACTGAAGAAGATGGAAGCAAGCAAGAGAGCGGACAAACCTGGACGATTGGGTGCCGCTACCGAACGTGAAAGCTGGCGTAGTACTTGGCTTCGGACCACCGAAAAGAGTCATTTCCTGAAACACAGAAACAAACGAACTTCCAGCAAACACAACCAGAACGCATTACCCACCTGAACCAACCAAAACACCACACTAACGAACTAGGCAAACACAGCCTGAGCCGGTAAAATACGGCATGCCGCCTGGACCGGCCCAATGCTTCTCCAGGGAAAGGGAGGGGAGGGGGGGGGGGGGGGGGGGGGGGGGGGGGGGC